GGCAATGAACGACGGAGGAGGCCGATCGCGAAGCCGCGACGCCGACAGTGGCGATGATTGATGTCGTGAACAGGGCCAAAGAGAGAGAGAGTAGAGGGGGTAGAGAGAGAGAGACGGAAGACAACTGGATGAGGATTTGGTTTGGTTACTATGTGTATCTATATATATATCTAGGGGTAAATTGGTAATTTTAATTCGGGGAAAAACTGGGCCGGGGAACGGGGACGGGACCGGGCCGGGTACGGGGTTGGGATACTTATCCCCGTCCCCGGCCCGAATATGTTCGGGGATTGATTTTTAAATACCATCCCCGTCCCTTCGAGGGTATTTTTCGGGGAAAACCCGGACAATTCGGGATCGGGGGGTCGGGTCCCCATCGGGCCGATTTCAAATTGCCATCTTTAGCTCTTTGTGATATTCACGTCTTTCATAATGAGTGAGAATATTTTACAGAGCAACAACAACATGAAAGTAGTTAAAAAACCCAAGTACTCCATTTCAGTTTAAAAAATTCTTAGAATCTGAAACCAACAGATTCTGTAAATATTTAACCATATTTATAACATCTATAAATACCCACAAATCTGAAATCCATCTATAAATACCATATTTATAACTTGAAAAAAATGAAATCCATCTATAAATACCAAATCTGAAATCCATCTGAAATCCATCGATTAGCAGTAAACTTGAGAAATCTAACCATATTTATAACATCTAATAAACAAATCTGAAATCTAACCAAATCTGAAATCCATGTATTGACTAATTCATGAAAACATGGTACTTAATTAACTTTAGATAGTGGTAAATAAATGCGATAATTTGTGTACTTACAGCATCATAGACTTGATTTGCTCTGGTTTCCATGTTAGCAAAAACTCCTACATACTTGATCCATTCTGCTCTCTGAGAAATGACAATATTAAATTGGCTATTTGATCCATCACCACCATGGTTACATAACTTCCTAGTAAATCATATGTTCATGCATACATCAAGTGGCAATGTACATTTGAATTGCTCATGTCCAAATGTTAGAACTGCTTAATGATAGACAATTCATTTACTTCTAAATTGCAGTTAATGCACTCAACTGGTTAGAACTTAGAAGTCAGAACATAGCAAGTGTTTCAACTACAATACAACTAATCATAAAATTAATCACAAAAAAAACACTGGAAACAAAAATAACTACAGATATTAAACATTGGAGCTAGTTTCGTCCAAAATAAAAACAGATTATATAAAATAAGTATGCAACTAAAAGTATAAGACAACTAAAAGTAATTAACTCAATTATCATGATAAACAATAAGTATGCAACCCATTATATAAAATCTAGAGCCAGCATTATGCATCCACGAGTTCAAATTTGTGTAAAAGAGTAAGATAACAATTTCAATGGAGATAAGAGTCATGGACTAACCCATTGAATGGCCAAAAACATGGGCTTTTCTCCAACCCAAATGATCCATTAGGGCTATTGCATCTTTTGCCATGGTTCTTGTTCTGCACACAACAAAAATAAATTCTTTGAGGAGTACATCCACTATTCCAGCAGCTAGGAAACAATTTAAAACACCACCTCAACTGGTCCTCAAAGGCTAAAAGTTGTAATAGGCTCAGATTCTACCTTTACCCATATCATAGTTTCAACAACAATAAAACTAATCATAAAATTAATCACAAAAGATACACTGGAAACAAAAATAACTACAGATATTAAACATTGGAGCTAGTTTCGTCCAAAATAAAAACAGATTATATAAAATAAGTATGCAACTAAAAGTATAAGACAACTAAAAGTAATTAACTCAATTATCATGATAAACAATAAGTATGCAACCCATTATATAAAATCTAGAGCCACCATTATGCATCCATGAGTTCAAATTTGTGTTAAAGAGTAAGATAACAATTTCAATGGAGATAAGAGTCATGGACTAACCCATTGAATGGCCAAAAACATGGGCTTTTCTCCAACCCAAATGATCCATTAGGGCTATTGTATCTTTTGCCATGGTTCTTGTTCTGCACACAACAAAAATAAATACTTTGAGGAGTACATCCACTATTCCAGCAGCTAGGAAACAATTTAAAACACCACCTCAACTGGTCCTCAAAGGCTAAAAGTTGTAATAGGCTCAGATTCTACCTTTACCCATATCATAGTTTCAACAACAATAAAACTAATCATAAAATTAATCACAAAAGATACACGGGAAACAAATATAATTACAGATATTAAACATTGGTGGGAAAATGTCTAGACAGATGACCAGATAGATTCAATTCGCCCTTTTTAAAATTTAAAATTCAAAAATTATTTTCAAAATTCATAACTAAATAAATTTTATTTTTTCAAAACTCAATGTACAATTTCACAACCAAATCACAACTCTAAAAAAAAAAAAAAAAAAAAAAAAAAAAAAAAAAAAAAATCATAATACCAAAATTAAACCAACACACAACCTCAGTTTTCCCCCCTTTAGAGGTAACTTTGCTTGCCTCTTTCTCTTTCTCAATTTTGAGGGGTAATGGTCTGAAAAGCAAGAATGTATGGAAATAATTCGATTTTAGGCTTTATTTGGTTTAGTTTTTTAAATAAATTTTAAGTTACATTTAAAAAAATAAGTTGTTAAAAAAATTAAAAATTTATTTGGTTATGAATTTTAAAAATAAATTTGAGTTAATTTTAATTTTTTTATTTTATTTTTATTTGAATAGGTAAGTGTGAAAGAAAATTTAATTGATTGATATGTAGAATATAAAAAAATAAGTGAAAAAAGAGAAAAAACATATTAATTGATTTATTAATAACAAAAAAAAGAGGTGAGAGAAAAGTAAGTTTTGAATTGCATTTTAAAAATTTATTAATCGAACAAACTTTTTTTTTATTTTTTTGATTCAAATCATATTTTAAAAACTAAACCAAACGAATAGAAAGTACAATAAAATAGCTCTATCAAAAAACTGCTTTTTTAGACTATATGTAATTCTTTCATCATATTCTTTTGTCTAATTAAATTTTAAATTTAGATTAAAAAAAAAATTGATTTGATATGAACTATTTTAATATTTTTTTAACAATTTTTTTTATTTTCTCACTCTATTTTTCAAAAATTTTGAATCAAATTTAATAAAAAAGATTATCTTTCTAAATATTTAATGTTGTCAAACTAAAACAAAAGATTTGATGAGTTTATATTTTGATAAAATAATGACTCTTCTTCAATTTGAACCATTGATGAAGGGGTTTGGTAATGATTTTTTAAGCATTTTTTATCAAATTTAATTTGAAAAGAGAAAAAGAGAAAACGGGTGGTTGTTGAAAAATAGAATTTGGTACACAATATAGTAAGGCCTAATATGAAAACTTGCTTTTAAATTATATCACCTCTCTAATTTTTTTTAATATATTTTTAAAAAAATAAAAAAAATTAACTTTTGACTAATTTTTCAAAACAACCATACGAAAGCAAATAAACAAAATTCACATTAAACTTTATTGGATTGTCGGACGGAGGTACTAAAGCTTGTTATTCAAAATTTCATCCGATTTGTTTATCTTTTAATAATAATAATTGCATCCTCAATTTTCAATCTATACTATAAAAAGGGTTCATATAATAAATTTAAAAGATAAATAAAAAAATATTGAAAGTTTTAATGCATATTTACCTTTCAATCAAGATATTAATTTCTTATTTAAATTTCTCTTTGATCAATCAAATATTTAACCTTTACTTAAATTTAAAAAAATAAAATAATAAGAGACTAAAAACTTTTAATCATTTTTAATTTTTCATGACTTGAGGTTAAATTGAACAGCAATTGAAATTATTCTACCAAAGAAGAAGAAAATGAAGGCCTCAGAATTGCAGAAAAGTCAGCAAGGCTTTTTAAAGCCATTCAGTCCCGAAAGATGGTGTTATTGTTTTTCTGATATCCTCAGTGGCCAAAACCATGTCAACAAAGCAAATCAAAACTAATAGCAGAGAAGAGAGGAATACAAAACCATATCCTCAGTGTTATTGATCAAAACTATATATATATATATATCTGTTTTTTGAATTCCCAAATGGTAATAGCAGAAACTCAAACAACAGAGACACACCAAACATTTTATCAAACACTTAATAAGCAAGGAATACAGAACCAAATGATAGTAAATGGGTTGATTTTGCGAAACCCAAACCCAAACCCAAAATCAAAATCAAATTCGTGAAACCCAACTAACTCTTCATAAAAGTGTAAGAAAAATCAAATTCTTGCATATTAATACAGAAAAATCAACGATACTCACAGGGCTGGTATGAAGATGAATGATTTTGCGAATCGTTCTTTTGATGATCTCTGTGATGATCGATTGATGATCTCTGTGGCTATGGGCTGGCATGTGAAGCGCCTCACCGAAAACAAAAATCTGAAGCGCCTCACCTCATGAAAACAAAAAATCTGATCTTGAATCTCATGAAACCCAAAAAATCGAATCCGATCTCGAATCAAAACCCTCCTGAGATCGGTCTCCGACATCGTTCTGGTCATCGGGATTTGAAGAGAAATGTCCATCTCTGGCGATGTTGATGACTCTTTCGAATGTGGAAGCCATTCCTTTTGCAGTGGCTAATTGAAGGGGGTTGGGTCTACAGCAAGGGAATGGGTTCTGATGGAGAGAGAGAGGGGGGGAGGGTTGTGAGTTCAAAATTTGAAAATTGAAACAGAAAGAGATTTTGAGCAGAGAGGAGCACGTGAGGTGAGAGACATTTTCAGCCCTTGGATTGAAGTAATCTAAAGGTCCAAATTTGGCACGTATATATTGTTATATAGATACTTGGGATTAATCTCAGCCATTGGATCAAAATGTATCTCACATACATTTTGATGTATTTTTCAAAAACCTTTGTGACTTATTATATAGATTTTTACCACTTAAATTATTACATATATTTATTATTAAGAATTTAGAGCACACAATTAATGACATAAGAATAAATAATAATAAAAATCTCTTACATGTAACTGTGATAAAAATGAATAAAATTTAATTGATTCTAAATATTTTTGCTAAATATTGTAGATAAAATTTTTGAGAATATTATTTAATTTTAAAAATTAATTTTTGATTATTTATTTATATCCGTGTATAATACGGGTAATTATGCTAGTTGAAAATGTAATCAAAAGTGATGGTCATGATTAATACCACATAAGATGATATTTAAAAAGTGATAAAAAGTGATGGTTATTGTAAGGGAACCAATATTAGAGTGATACATTGATACTAGTTGAATTGCTAGGCCTCATTTGGCCGCCTAAAAAAGGCTGAAATATCAAGTCAGTAAAACAAGTTACAAAATTAAAAAAATTATTAAAAATTAAAGATTTTAAAAAAATCTCAATTTTCAAACTATCGCAAACTACAGTGTATTTGGCAGGAAGTAGTAGGTTACAAAGTTAATTTTTTGATTTTTTAAAAAAGTTGGTTAAAAGTTGATTTTTTATTTTATTTTTTATTTTTTAAAAAAAATATATAAAAAAATAAAGAGATAATATGAATCAAAATAAATTAAAAATAAAAAAAATGACTTTTTACTCACTTGTCCAAACAATCCGAAGTTGGACCATGATCAAAGCCTATTTCATAGGTTTTGGAGTTAAGTATTGGGTTATTCATAGCCCATTTTCCAAATCAGACTAAACCATCCCATTTCGATCTACACTGTGAGCTCGGCCCAACAAAAAATGGAATCTATCTTGTTGAAGATTTTGCTGGTGGAAATTGTCCATGTTGTTTTGAGATTTGGGGAGATTTTTTTTTAGTTAAAAAAATTAGAAAGTCACTAAAAAAAAATTTTAAAAAAAATGAAAGGCTAAAAAATCTGCATATTTGGCATACATCTAAACAAATTGGTTTCTACTAGTATAAAAAGATCAACATATCTCACATTAATTTTTTTTCCATACAACTAAAGCAAAAATAAAATGAAAAAGGTAAATGGACAAAATTGGAATCAACACATAATTGGAATGCAGTCTTTATTAAAATTGGAACCAACAGTTAATCAGCATAGAATGAAGAAAAATGTATCTTTGAAATTTTACAATTTCTATTTTATTTTTTAAAAAATAATTAAAATTAAAACCTGTTTTATAGACACCGGTTCATGTTTAAAAAAATGTAAAATTCCACATTACCAATAGAATATGAGAAATTAAAAGAAACTAACCTATACAAACTAAATAAAGGAAAATTGAGAAATTTCTCGCTTTCTTAACTCTAAAATTTCCCCAAAACCAAAAACTGTTAAGCTACTGCCACCTCCATAGCTTTTACAAGTAATATTTTCAACATGTTTGACACAACATCAATTAGCCACAAAATTAATCGTATGTGTTTCATATTTAACTTACAACTACAGCCCAAATTCACAATTTTCAAAATTGAGAAAATTCTCGGTTTCACAAACTGAGAAATTTCTCTCTCAATTCTTATAAATCTCTCGAGCAACATCTAAACCTCATTTCCCATTATTTGGGAATGAAAAAAACTGAAAATTTGTGACAAATTCTCGGTTAAATTTATGACCAATCACCATTAAATTTAATTTCCAAATTACTTATATTTGGCCACGGATGGGGACATGTTAATTAATCCATATGACAAATAATTGACAGCCTTCGTGCATGGTGGTTGTGGATTTCCGAATGTTTTTCAGCTTTCCTATTGCTTACTTAAATGTTACCTAATCATTGACTCAACATAAGGATATAGCCTCATTTTTCAAAGAACCTAAAATCTTAACAAAATAATGTCAAAAGATTTTGGTTAGATGCATAAGAAGTTCCAAATCTTGTTAGAGGGGTATGACTATTGTTTGAATATATATTTTCAGCTTTGTATATGATATGGTTAATTTTATTTTTATCTCCTAAATCATTGTTGTTTTTTTTAAGGTAAATTATAAATACACTTCTTGGGATCTGTTTAAAATATAAATTGTCTCTTATGATTTGAAAAATCATAAATACCCCTTTATCAGGATTTTTTATTTAACATAAGTAATTAAAAAAATAAAATTCATAATTATTTTCTTATACAATAATAAAATTATATGAATTATAAATTGAAATATATTTCTGATATCATTAAGTACTGTTAATTGAGTTGATAATTTATTAATAAAATGGGTCATTTATTATGAAATTTGAAACCCCAAGGGGTGGAATGTAATTTCCAGAATCACAAGGGATGATTCATATTTTAAACAAATCTCAAGGGGTGTATTTGTAATTTATCTTCTTTCTTTTATTTTTCTATTTCATTTCTAAATTATCAATTATATCTATCTAGTGTATAGAGTTTTTTTCTTTTTCTTTTTAATTTTAGCTCAGACAGTCCAATTGGACAAGGTTGCTGAAATCAAGTAATCATTGAAATCTAGGGGCAAAAAAAAAAAATCATTTTTTAAAAATTTTGAACAACTTTAGTGACGGTGGGGAAAAGGAGAGAATGAAGATGGGAAGGGATGAAGAAGATGAATATTTGATTATATGATTAAGTTAGCGAAATTATAAAATTATATTTTTACCCATTAAGTTAACTTTCTGTCGTTAGTGGTTTGGACCTGGATTTTCAATTACACTAAAGGAACTAACGTAACAGATTTTATGAACTAAACAGATAAATTTTTAAATGAAATAGAAGGGAACAAAAAAAAGACAATAATTTAGAAATAAAAATAAAATTAATAATACTAT